GCTTTATTGTATTGAAATTTTTACATGTTCTACAGTAATTCCTGTACGCTGAATCCGAAAATGATATCCATTTTTCTTTATCACGTACAGATGTTTCACAAAACGTTGTAACGCAATATATAAAAGAAAGACCACAACATGTAGTTTGGAGACTAAAAGACATAGATTTCACACACAAAAAAAACATAATAACAAAAAATGTTCATTGCGGTAAACGAAATAATAATTTGAGCTAAGAGTTTGTTTTTCTTCCCGATTTGTAAAAAATCCTTACGTGATAGAAAAAAATGTATATTATTTTCGAAATCTGCGCTGTGCTGAATTATGGAAAATCCGTTATTAAAACCAAAACAACTTTTATGAAGTTTAAATTCGCAAGTTTGCGTTATACAAAACGAAACGCTACTTTGCATAAAACATTCCTTTAGTTTCTGAAATATGACAAAATTATTACTTAGAGGGCGAAATTTTAGAAGTGTTTTAGTCACGGATGGTAAATGAATGTACATTCAAAGATAATATTGTTTGCATAGTTTCTTTGAAAACTTCAGATTCGAAAAACTTGCCCCCCAGTGGCACAGCGGTATGTCTGCGGACTTACAACGCTAGAATCCGGGTTTCGATACCCGTGGTGAGCAGAGCACATATAGCCCTTGAGTAGCTTTGTGCATAATTAAAAACAAACAAGCAAAACAAACAAATCGAAGAAACTTCTTCGGAAGGGGGAAAATTTTGAAGTGACTGTAGTTTTCAAATGCTTCTTCCTATTTAAAAATCAATCATTAAGAAACTGATTGAGGTTTACACTTCCGGCTTTCATATATGGAGCGCTTTTCTCTTTGTTTTTGTAATGGGTGGCGTTTTGGACTCTACACCTGCCAAGGGACTCAAACTGGAGACAGCTTTGTCGTTTACTAAAACATCTAAGATAAAAGTACTTATACATTTTTTTACACTGTTTAGAGTCCCCAGGAACAACAGAATAACATAAATTATTATCAGTTACAAACATTGATCTTCCAAAAAATACATAGTAGGGATTAAATCTGAAATTCAGTTCGAACATTTCAAAACTTATGACGTTCTTTTTAATCAAAGAAACATTACTGGTGACTTTTTTTGGTAAAAATATTTTAATCCCCAACTTCAACAGTTCATTTAACTTAAAACTACCCTAAATTATATATTCTCAAAAAGTATAACAAGTAAAAGAATGAAAAAAATAAGCTACTTCTTTGTTTATTTCGTATGCTGATTTTCCTCTACAGTAAACAATAATTAATATCTTATTCTTTATGGTTAATAGCGTTTTGGGAGAAGTGTAGACAATCCTCCAAAGGAAATTGTTGATCATGATGCAGCAAGTTTACCGGCTACGAAAGAAGGTTCCTTTGAAGCGTGGGTAAGTGGAATATTTGTGGTTAAACCGTACGAGTTGGATTATCTTTATCACTAGAAACACTGACTATATGATTAGTAGGTTTCACGTAAGTCCTACTTTACAAGACAAGATCTAGCTTAAACCGTACGAGTAGGAGTATCTTTATTATTAGAAACACTGACTATATGATATGTAGGTTTCACGCATGTCATACTTTACAAGATAAGATCTAGATTAAACCGTACGAGTAGGAGTATCTTTATTATTAGAAACACTGACTATATGATATGTAGGTTTCACGCATGTCCTACTTTACAAGATAAGATCTAGATTAAACCGTACGAGTAGGAGTATCTTTATTACTAGAAACACTGACAATATGATAAGTAGGTTTCACGCATGTCCTACTTTACAAGATAAGATCTAGATTAAACCGTACGAGTAGGAGTATCTT